GTCCTATAGTTGAAGGCTTTACTACCAATAAAAGCAAAAATATAATCAACAGATGTTAAAATGTGTACTTTGTATATATATGCTCTGTTAAGTAAAGGCTAGTCTGAAAATTTCAAACATGTATTCATGTGCATAATTTGATTGTGTTTTAAAATAATTAATGTAAATTATTTGTTATACTACATTTCAATCTATACATTAATGATAACTAATGCATTATAGTTGGTGTCTTTAGTACAAAATTTTATATTCATATTTCATAATGATAATGTGTGCTTGTTTAAAGTACAATTGTACAACTGACTATAGTAGGGTTTTCCCCTACTAAATGGACTAAAAGATATTTAATGTTTCAAAGCTTTGTATAGTCTAAAATTTCTTTTTTTGCATTTTAACAATGAACTTTTGCATAAAAACTTAAATAAGGCTGCATCCCAAAATTTCTTGGAATTGCTCCCACACTTTTCTGATTCATAGCCTTGGCCAAATTCCTAAATAGGTTCAGCATATAACAAGTCACACCCACACAATGCCTACACAAATGATGCAATACTGACAAGAAAACATGTTCACATGCTAGGAAGAAAAAAATAAGCTACTTCCTTAATATTTCTTTGGTTGATGAACTGTGTAAATATCACAATTCAGTATTTTAGTATTAGGGACTTTAAAAGTCTTCTATGATATTCTTGTTAAAGCAAAGTTCCTGCACAGACAAAGCTGAGTGTTTCCTGAATTTCATAATTACATTGAGAATTTGTCAGCATGCTACTATATTTAATGTGAAGATGCTATAAGACATTTCATTATGCTATACTGCATTCTCTTTTACAAAGGCCATGAGAAAAACTTCTCTGGTCTGTTTGATCTGTTTCTACATTGAAGATACTGTCAAATAATCAGATAATTAAATTTATCAGCTTCTTTATAATGGCTGCCAGAAAATTTAAATCTTCATTTTTGTCCCACTTCTAGATGTGTAGGCCCTTATGCCATGCATTTATGAACAACAGAACACATTCCTGGCTTCACCTAATATCTCCTGCTCTACTTTTTGGATTCCATCATCTCCTCTACTTATTTTAATTTTATGTTTTTACCATTCATCTATGAAATTGTTAAATGCTTTCTGGAAAAAAGCTGGATATAAGTACACATATAAATAAACATATACATCAAATGACAAAACAATCTATTTATATAAAAACCCTGGGTGTAACGCATCATGTCCGAGGCCCCAGCAACCAGAAGGAAGCAGTCCTGCAGGGGCCGTCTTGGCAACAGCTGCACCCTTCCCCAGCTGTTGCCCATGAGGGAGAGGTTTCAGGCAGGAACCCGCCTTCAGAGCCTGGACACACTGAGTCCTGGGTCGCCTTGCCAAGGGCTGCGCCCTCCCCGAGCTGTTTCCCATGAGGGTGAGGTTTAAGGCAGGAAACAGCCCTCGGAGCATGGAGGAATATCTTTGTAAAGTTTTAATACATTATATTAGAGGTCGTGGTGGTACTGTTTCACCCACAGCATTTACACGAATTGCTGCAAATTTACTTCTCGGTGGAAGAACCTTTCATTCCCAATATAAATTACCAATTCCATTAAATGAAACTTCAATTTCTAGACTCAATATAAACAGTGAAGTTGCTAAAACTATTAAAAAGGCCCAACTTCTCATTATTGATGAATGCACCATGGCATC